TTTATTCAAATACTAGCTGTGTCCGCGGTTTTACCGCCATGAAATTTATAGCTTATATGTTATTCTGATGTAGAAGCTATATTACTGTAAAGTTTAATAAAAATCCGGTCAGTAGTTTTTTAATGAAAGAGTAACAAACTTCCATTCATCGCATCTTTACCTCCATACTCACCAATTTTCGTAGTAAGATATATAATTTTAGGTAAGTTGTTAGTTTCATTCTACCGCCATATGGACAATGTAGATTTAAGAGAGAACTATGAGTAAGAAGCTTAATTATGACTCTTCTAAGTACATACTTCAGCCGCTCCATAAGTCCTTTTGCGGGTTTGGAGTGCCATCCACACTCGCCTCCTATCGTTCGGTGAAACTGTAAAGGCCATCTGCGGCCAACAGCATTAGAATAGTGCGAAAACAAACGTTTCTAGTTTTTTTTACACTTTAAACACTCGCAATGACTTATGGTGCTGCTGAACACCAACTCTTGCCTTACGGCTAAGTAACATGCTTTAGTCTGAGGGCACCGTTAGGAGTTCGATTCTCGGCTCAGGCCGTCGTAATTTCGATCCCCGTTTGATTGGAATGGGGGATCGATTGGAAGCGACCGTAGACACGTACCAACTTTATATTCTTAGCATCGCATACGGCCCTTCTGATGTTAAACGGTTGCCTATGCGCCGGTTATACCAGGGGTGTCACGTACGTACATCATCTGCTTCTTCCTTATCCCATTAACTTATGGTCAGCATAATATGTTTTCTCTTCCATTCATCCCTGTTGATAGTCATCTCGTTATTTACTTCCTTTCTTACCATATCATCTTTCACACAGTCCATCTCTTTTTCGGCCTTCCTCTGCCCTTATTACCATCCACATTCATATGTAACATAAAAAATCTTAAGTGGGTACATTAAAAATCTTGAAAAACCCCTGTAATTTTTACAGAAAACCTTGAAAGTAGTTCATTCCACAATCTGAGTGTACGCAGGAGCAAACTCCTCTGAAACCTGACATATACTCGCAGTACACATTGTTCGCGCAAATGCTTAATAAACACATCAAAATCTCTATGGATTAATGATTTATATTCATCAATAATATCATTGTTATTTACAACTTCTTCCTACATTTTTTTATACTACAATGGTGGCAATCAAGCATGCGGCCCATTTGATGGTAAATGGTTACCGTGTAGGTAATGTAATAGACCCTTACAAAAAGAAATCTCTTCATTTTCTATGACGATATTATTTGATAATAATTTACAAAATATATATTAAATACATGATTTTTTTATTAATTGCCTGAAAAAGGTATGTGTTATTCTAATGTAGGTAAAGGCTATATTACTGTAAAGTTTCATCAAAATCCTTTCAATGTTTTATTGTGCATGAAAGATTAAGAAATATCCATCTATATTAACAAACTGTCGCGTTTTAATATGACTGATATTTACTTTATATGCAATGCACGTTTCTTTCTTATGCATCGTAATATAAAGGTATCTACATATTGACTGCCATGTCGTGTGGACTCTTACCAAAGAACGTGAAGTCCACGAATTATTGTTATCAGTTCAATGTTCAATCCGTTCAGTTTTCGTGTTGATTCAACAGTACATAACTAGTATGTAGGTATATATATGTGCATGCTAACTCTAGAAATTTAACACAATAAATGTTTCAGTTTTTACAATTATCATTTGAAATAAATTGGACTGTTCTGCGATTATGTATAATGGATGTAACAGTTGCAATTGCAAACCGTGTATTTTAGCGCGGAACTTTTTATTTTCCTTAAATGCAACTCTTAAATGGTTCAAAATCGCGAGATTATGGATTTAAATCTGTTAAAACATATTCGATCCATCAAAAATTGTACTAATTTGTAGGAGGGAGAGCATATTGAGCAATGTACCGTATCAAGGCGCGATCCATGAGGTACCCTCACTATTAATGAATTTCATCATAGGCTAATTGTTCATCATATTTATGCTCATCCTATGCGGTATACTGATATACCGTTAATCCCCCATTCCAACGTTATAATTCCATTTGCAATCGACAAAAACTAGATGTATTATAATGCTGAATGCTACAAGTGTTGGACATAAAACTCCTTTGTTATATTGACATATATTATTTGTATATAAAAAGAGAAAACATATTAATAAAAAGACGACTGCGAATAAAATGGTATTTCCTTATTTGCCCTCTGCATAAATAAAATCCTAATAGCACGCTTCCACTGCGTAGCCCACGAATTATGATGAAATAAAAGTGAAATATATATTCTGCTGCTATACATGTGGAAAAAGAGGTCATAAGTCATTTCAATGTAAGAAACAACAACAAGAACAGTATAATAAAGAAGACCTACAAAGATATGGACAAGGACGAGGTCGATCCTGGCACGGAGCAGGTCGAATTAATATGAGGGGGCGAGGAAGACCATGGCAAGGAAGATCAAGGATGAGAGGACGAGAAAGGTACAACTCTAACAGAGCAACATGTGCTTTGGATGAAGATAACATGACAGAACAGTGGCTAATTACAGCTTTCGGTGAGAAGGAACAGGTAACATAGGGTGAAAATAGTAACAATAATACAATAATATTTATTATAGATTCAGGAGCGACTGAACATTTGATAAAATCTTCTTATAAAGGTTTTATGTACGGTATTAGGGAAATTGAAGAAATAAAGATTTATGTTGCAAATGCTCAATATTTAACAAGTAGAGAAAAAGATAAAATAAATGTCAATTGTCAAAATGAAAATATTACGATTCAATGTTTAATAGTAGAGAATTTGTCATATAATTTATTGTCGGTTAGACAGCTTTTATCTAAGAAATTAGAAATAAAATTTCATGAAAATTTTGTATCGATATATAACGGAGAAAAGGTAATAATTACAGGTCAATTAAAGTCACGTTTACATATAATAAATGTTGATATATGTGTAAACAATATTGAGTGAAAGAGATGACAAGATTGCCTCATTATGGCATAGGCGATTAGGTCATTTGAATAGAAAAGGTTTAAGGATTTTAAGGCTCCCGTTATCCAATAACGTATGTGACAGCTGTACTGAAGGTAAGAGTACCAGAAGAGTATTTCATGAAACAAAAAGTTATTCAAAAAGAATTGGTGATTTGATTCATTCTAATATTTGTGGACCTATTGGACCAGCAATTATTAATGGAGAATAATATTTTCAGGTAATTGTTGATGATTATTCTCATTATGTTACAGTAAAGTTATTAAAACAAAAGAATGAAGCGAGAGAAAATTTAATATACTATATTAAATATGTAAATACACAATTAGATTTTAAAACGAAGAAATTAAGATCAGGTAATGGTGGAAAATTTACATCATCTCGATTCAAAAACTACTGTCGGTAAAAAGGTATTTTACTACAATATACTTCACCATATACTCCAACGCAAAACGGAACTAGTGAAAGAATGAATAGATCATTATTAAATACAACACGAACCAAATTTGCAGAAACTAATTTACCAAATGAATTATGGGGAGAAGCTGTTTGTTGTTCTGCATAAACTAAATTAATAGATGTCCGAGTAGAGTGTTACAATATAAAACACCAGCTTCAATTTGGTATGGATCCAATAACATTGTTAAAATGAAAGTTCTCGGATCAAAGGCTTGGCGAGTAACTTTACCAAAACCGAATAAATTAGAAGCCAGAGCAAAACAATTGTGGTAGGTTATTCTGAATCAGGATATCGACCGTGGGATCCTGAAAATAACAAAATAATTAGTTCAACAGATGTTATTTTTGATGAACAGAATAGTACATTCTGCCCTAAAGAAAAAAGTGTGGACAACAAACATGAAAATGAGAAGATTATAATAATTGATGATGAAAAGGATAATAAAAATATGAGTAATAAGCAAATAGTGAAAGATCAAAACACATAGTAATAAGCAAATAGCAAAAGATCAACACACATAGATATTAAAGCTCATTACGTAAAAGATATTATTGCTAAGAAAATAATTAATATATTCTATGTAGAAAGTAAGAAAAATATTCCGATGTATTTACTAAAGCTCTATCTTTCAACCAACATTCTTATTTAACTTTCAAAATGAATATAATGTAAACTCGACTTCTATTGTATTGTATAAATTTCATATTAAGATTAGTGTTGTTAAACCATCTATCGATATTATATACGGTGATGTTCGATGTATGTTTGTATGTATCATAGTAACCATTTCAAATGTACTAGATTAGAAATTGAGGGGGATGTTGGACATAAAACTCCTTTGTTATATTGACATATATTATTTGTATATAAAAAGAGAAAACATATTAATAAAAAGACGACTGCGAATAAAATGATGTTTCCTTATTTGCCCTCTGCATAAATAAAATCCCAATAACAAGAACAACTGATATGACACATCTATTGATAGGTAGATATAACGGTAGGTTTCCGATTTAAATATAACATTAGAGAGCTGTAATAGACTAATTTGTATGATTTACAATTGTAACTGTAAAACGGACTATACACAATTGCAAAAGTTGTGGATTGTAACCTGTTTCAAACGAGAATTATTAGAAACTACAATTGCAATAATTTTATTAATAAAAGACAACTTTTAAATTGAGTTTGTAATTAACAAAGAAACTATAGCAACTATTATTATTTTATATTTCCCTTCACATACATTAGAGTAGGTAACCTATCTGACCTATGTGCAAATATTAATTTGGTAACTGGTAAATTGACAATCTAAAAACCTAAATGGAATTAATAAACGTTAATTATTATTGTTGTGTTGGCAACCCTATACCGTTAGTATTTAAAAACGATATCAAGTTTGCAATGTTGGCAGCAGATTTCCTTTTAAATAAATCTCAACACAAATCAGTTATCAAACCGTTCTAAAAGGTATAAGACGTTAATCTAACACGTAATCAACATATCTGTTTACGAAAACTTTCGTATAATCAAACAAAATGTCGGTGGAATTGGAGTACGACTATGCTGCGGCTACAGCCTCTATGGACAAGTTCTCTCAAGCCGATATCGATGCCTTGAGAGAGTGGTCCGTGAACGCAGACAAATCCAAATACATTCCCAAAGATTTGACCAACAAGCAATTGTTATTATTCTACAACGCCTGCTACGGAGATGTTGAGAAGGCGAAAACTTGCGTTGAGAAGTATTATTCGTACAGAAAAAGCGCATCGGACTTCTTCGACAACCGCAATGTTAATTCAGATGAACTGAAGCCCCTCATCAATGACATTCTGTAAGTAATTTTAAGTTTTCCATACTAGTTACTTCCATTGTAATTAGTCTGGCTCTATAAGGAAAATGAGTATTTATGTATGAGTACGAGTATTATGTTTACATGAAGTTCCTATGCCTTTCTTTGATATAGAGAAAAAAAAAGTACAATGTTTCATTGCATCATTTATGAAAAACGTACTTGTATTCTTAATTTAAGTTGATAATGAAATTAATTGGATTGTTTTTTTATACATTGAAATATGTCATTATATATTTAAATGTATAAAAAAGAAATCCAATTAATAAATTATTATTTGTACTAATTAAATTAAGTCAGTTTGATAATGAGATCAATATATACGTAGATTATTTTATTATTATTGTCTATTACTTACTTGTCACTCACTTTTTTTTAATTAATTATGTTTGAATGAATCCTAATTCCATAATAGATAGAAAATTTTCTATAAAGATTCAATAAATATTATATATATCGTATATCGTATTATCAGGTGTGTATAATTAAAGAAGAGGGTACATTTCCTTAGTTCGGGACTAGATGGCGCTGTGTGAATTGTCCTAGATTACTAACTCTTCTAGATTATTTTTCGAACTATTATAATTGTTGGCATAAATTGGTCTTTACAGCATCTTAACTGCGGAAGGTCTTTGGATCGCCTGAAGGCTATCTCCAGACAGACAGATACGACTTTAGTCTGAGAGCACTACCGTTAGTGCAGGCGGTTGTATCTTCCATTATCGCCCATAAGATAAAATAATCTGAGCCAAGGTTTTTTCTTTTTTGTATATGATAATGGAATCGTGCACCCGTCTGCGCTAACGGTTTACGCTGGCGGGGCACCAGTGGAGGATGATAAGATGAGCATGAAGTTAGGTATTTTTTATTTTTATGGATGATAATGGAATGGCTCACACGCCTGCGCTAACGGTTTACGCTGGCGGGACACCAGTGGAGGATGATAAGATGAGCATGAGGTCAGGTCAGTTAGCCCATCGTGACAAATTCACCAAGAATTTATCACGATGGTTTCCAGGGGGAACCGCGTGGAGGTCAACCTGACATGGTACATTGCTAGCAATGGGGTTATCAATCCACATTACTAACAATCCCTTTCCACCCCCCATGAAGTTAGGTAACGAACCCCTAGTTCGAATCTTGGCTCAGAATATCGGAATTTCAACCCCCGTTGTAATGGGACAGGGAATCGATGGGTCGGGCTAGTATATTTTTTTATCAGACCCAGCTAGATTGTGCTGAAGGTTGATAGAGATATAATATTAATTATTTATACCTATATGTATTTTTGCACTGCACCACAATCGATGTCTATTCTGTCATATTAATGATAATTACTCATTTCCTTTTGTTAATCAATATCAGCTGATATAAACGTGTTTTGATAGCATTGTATCTATTCAATTTTAATCTAAAAGATAAAAAGTTAACGAGCTAAAATATTTAGTACTAGCAATATTAAAAACGTAAATCGTAATTATTTGTTTTATAAGTAAAGAAGAAATAATGTATTAATATATTTATGACGTGAGTTAGATACTCTCGATGGTATTAGTTTAGCACCACGCTTTATTTCCAATGGTCGCAGGTTCGATTCCTTGCTAGATGCGTATGTTTGTATTAATATGTTTTTACACACTAGAGTGACAAATACATCAGGGATTTATCACGATGGTTTCCAGGGGAACCAGGTGTAGGTTAGGTTGCTACATGGTATATTGCATACATTGCCCTTCGTCGCAAGGAGTTAGGTTTTGAGATTATGGCGTGAATCCTCACCATGATGATCGAGAAGTCATGATCATGTCCTCTGGAATAACAACACATGAGTGGTATCAGAGGTGTTGCATGATAAAGTTCTGTCTGTAGTGTTGTGTTAAGAGCTATTTCTCGGTGCTTATGAAACCTCTAGTATGCCCGCCCTATTTTAGAGTCTGCTACCTTGTCCCGTGAGAGACAAGAATTGAAGGATATTCTTAGGAGCGATGGTTTTATTTACTCAAAATAAAGTGTGTACTTTCTAAAGGAGATATTTAGTTTATGTATGGGCTACAACCACAGGATATGTCGTGGCGTGTCCTCTTGCATTTGGCAAAAACAGGAGATGTTTATCGAAGAGAGGATGTAGTATGGCGGTAGCTGGCCCTCTGCCGCTTCTACCTCTTCCCTTCTCGCAGATTCGAACTTGCATTCGCCAGAGATCCACTATAATACAAAACCAAAGATGGACCTAAACCCAAACCCACGACTCACAAAACCTCTATTAGAGCTAAATAGGCAAAATCTTAAAATAATGATACGGACAATAACTTGCTCTGTCCCTTAAACAAACACTTATACACAATTGGTGCTACAGATAGTTCCCTTTGTCGGGGCTGCTTTGAAACCGAAGAAACCTGCAGTGGCCACATAACGAACACAAATCCTCGGAACGGTGAGGTCGCTCCGTGAAGCCTGTAAAAACACTTGAAGGTTTTTGCGCTTCTGAGAGGAGCTTGGCTGGCTACTTCAGTAGTTTCGGCTCTACACGCACAACCCAAATGAGAGGCTAATTACGGAGAATAGAGTCCACATTACATTACATTATTCAGCATGCGTCGGCCCTACAAATCGAGTCTTAGCATGCATGGCGACACGATTACCAATTGTTACCATCCTGGTACAAAAAGTACAAAGTCCCATTCCCTCATGTATTTAATCTACTTATTTATATACATATTATCAATTTCGTCGCATTAATTCTATCGCGAAAATAATCTAACAGATAACTTTGTTTATTGAGGGCAAATTAATAGAAACAACACTAATTATATAAAAACAAGTTTTAGGTATTGATTTCGTAATGTTTATCATTTAATTCCATGGCAGATATAATCTTACATAAGTTTGTGATAGGTAATTAAATGCAGGTGCTATAATGAATGGAGAATCTTAGTTAATATCTATTAAACGATGAATGAAAATTTTCAAATAAAAAACACTACGCATGTATTTTTAACCCCCAAGCAAATTCAGGGGTGATATAAGTTTGATTGTGTGTTTGTATGTCTGTAGTATCGTAGTTCATAGACGAATGGACCGATTATGATGCGTTTTTTGTTTGATAGCTGACATAGACGAGACGGTTTGTAGTTGTAATTTGTGAGAGCTTTTTAAATTTAGTGTTAGGTACTTATAATTTAATTTTTATGGTTATATTAAAGTCACTTTGAATTGGAGTGAACGATTAAAGTCAAAGACATTTTAATCACTTTTGTAATTGTAATTTTTTAAATTTTATAAAACTTAGATATTAAATGGAAAACCCGGTTCCGGTACATGAACTACTACTTCCATTACACTATTTGAGCAGACTATTTCTTTCTAAGTTATTTCTTCAATGTTCACTATTTATTCATAATTTGTAATAATATATATCTACTAATTTTTAATTAATTAGAATAGGTTACTAATAATCTCGAAAAAATAGTTGCACGAACAAACACAGTAATGAAAGTCGGAATATCGTATTTGTTTACGTAAGAAATGTATATTTAGATTATCTTATATAAGCAGCTTACATAATCCAATAACATTAGTTAAAAATAGACATAGTTTGTATGTCAACTAAATAATAGTAAATCAGTCATAGTGATTACAACAGATCAGTCCCCACAAACAGTCCTCGTTCACGAATATGACGGATGAGCATCACTACGCTCGACCATATTTTAGGGAGACCAATAATCTGAGCCCAATGCAAAGTACAACTGCGTCTCTACACTCCATATACCTCTGGAGATTTGTCCGTGAGATTAGTGAGATTTTTGTTTGGTTCCAGGGAATTCTCAGTGCTGCCAGGCACCTCAGTTGAAGGCTATGACATCGTGTTCCATAGGCTCCATAACACTGAACCGTCGAAGTATGAGTTTGAACTTGGTTGCAGACTGCTCTTCATGACCATTGGTGAGACCTTAATTATTGTAATATCATATATATAAAATTCTCGTGTTACAATGTTAATTACCATAATCCTCCGATTTTTATGAAATTTTATATGCATACTAGCTTTTGCCCGCGACTTCGCTCGCGTTAATTTATCCCCTTAGGGGTGGAATTTATCAAAATCCTTTCTTAGGGGATGCCTACGTCATAGTAGCTTTATGCATGCAAAGTCTCAGCCCGATCGGTTTAAAATTGACAAAGTTTAATACAAACTTTCATCCCCTATTTTATCCACGTGGGGGTAGAATTAATCAAAATCCTTTCTTAGCGGATACCTACGTCATGACATCTACCTGCATGCCGAATTTCAGACCGATCCGCCCAATGGTTTGAGGTGTGCGTTGATAGATCATTATGTCAGTCACCTTTGAGTTATATATATTTAGATTTTAACCCTTCGAAGGTTTGACACAGATTTGTGTACTCCTATTAAACCGTATTACCGTCTTGTTCGAGCGCTATCGAACATGAGCTATTGACAGCCGCTAGGCCGGGACACCTTTCACTTTGCCTTGCGCCTACGACGTCACCGCACGCGTACCTTATTAATTAGATAATGTTCCTTGTAATATTATAACTCCTCGTATTAAATATAATAACTTACAGTCCACTACTTATTTTATTTACGAGTTATCAACAGTCTTGTCACAGATCTTTGTCCGCAAAACCATGACTTCTTTTTAACCAATTTTATCCTTATTTAAAACAAAATAAGACTGTAACGCATTTGAAACAATTCAACTTGCGTATACCGCCTCTTCATTTTCGGTTGCTGCGACAGAGGACGGACATTCGAAAGGTTAATGCAATTAATTATCTCTATTGCTGACAAATAATTATCATCATCATCTGCTTCTTCCTCATCCCATTTATTTGTGGTCGGCGTAATATGTTTTTCTCTTCCATTCATCCCTGTTCGCAGCCATCTCGTTATTTACCTCCTTTCTTACCATATCATCTTTCACACAGTCCATCCATCTCTTTTTCGGCCTTCCTCTACCCTTATAACGGTTCACATTCATATGTAACACCTTCCTTAAAATATTATTTTCATTTCTGCGCATTAGATGCCATTAGCACGACAGACGATTACTCTTCAACCTCTCCGACACCGGCGCCACTTTCTGACAAATCCGTTGCGTAATTCAAAAGATATAAACGAACAGACAACGGCGGTGACTTTGTTTTATACTATGTACAGTCTTTTATTTTAATAATTATATAATATTAAAATGTAATTTGTAAATAATCTATCAGTATATATTATGTACATTTTTTAAATATATTTTTTATAAGGTTGTATAAATCGTTGTGTATAGTTGCATGTACATCTATACATATAAATAAAATTGGAGTGTCTGTTTGTAATATTGAAATAACCGTTTTTTACTAATTGCATGTGAATATAAATACGGTACGTACACCAAAATTTTTTTTTCAATTTTGACTGTTTGTCGGTCTGTTTGTTCCGGCTAATCTCTGAAATGGTTGAACAGATTTTGACGGGACTTTTTTGGCAGGTAGCTGTTGTAATAAGGAGTAACTTAGGCTACTTTTAATTTAGAAAAATCTCTAAATTTTAGAATAATAAAGTTAAATTCCACGCGGATGATGTCGCGAGAACCTCTAGTATGTTAATGTTTTTATATATTTCTATTTATATTTTAACATCAATGATTAAATTGCATCGCCTTAATATCTCTGATCAATGTGATTGATTGAAGGCAATATCATCAGGTATTAAATCTTCCATATATATAATTTGTGTGGAATAGAATAAATAAATAATTTACTATGTTTTTTATCTTTCCAGATGCATACTTAACAAAGCGAGGCCCCCGTCCAGGTGTTATCTTCCTGTATGACATGAGAGGAGTAAAGTTGGGACACTTGACACGTGTTGGATTGTCGTATGTATCCTTAATTAACTTCTGCCCGCGATTTTGTCTGTGTTACCACATATACTCCATCATAAATGTTATGTTTGTGTCAAATTTCATGATAATTGCTGAGGCCGTTAAAAAGTGCAAATGTAATAAAGAAACTTATTTTGGCATTTATATGATACTAAATGACACACTCTGATTTTTTAAGATAAAATGTCTATGTTCGTGACCACGATGGAGTAAGATGAAAAGTTACCTAGCTCCTACACTAATGTTAAGTGTAATAATGACTCAATTTAGCATTTACAACACTAGATGATATAAGTTATTTTGTCAGCTATTTTGAGTTAAAAGCCTGTTTAAGCTAGTGGATAGTAAGATAAGAAGTACAATAATAACTATGGACAATTCATACAGCGCCATCTAGTTGCAAGCTAAGCAGAATACTTTTGTTTATGGTTACTAGACAACTAACATAAATAATTAAATACTAACGTAATATATATAGAAAACACTGAGTCTTCTATGTATATTAATGATTCAAACAATCATGCTCATGAATACAAATGTTTGTACCGTGTGAGGAATCGAACCCGCAACCATCGGTAGTAAAGCGGTGTGCTAAATCACTACACCACCGAGTCTTTAATCACGTGATTCTTTACAGATACCTTCGCAAGTATTTCCAGTACACCCAAGAAGCGCTGCCGGTCCGAACCAAGGGGATCCACGTGTTGAACACTGAGCCCATTGTGGACAAGCTGACTCTGCTCATCAAACCGTTTATGGACAAGAAATTCTTTGATATTGTAAGTGTTTTTTTATTAAAAGTAAAAATTTTTCCGTAAAGCCCAATTTCATCCGTAAACACTCAGCCCGAGTGGGCAAGGAAGTGAGCTGCGCGAGAGTGTAAACACGATACTTCCCATGCCATAAGCGGTCATAAGCGGCTAAATGTCCTACAGGAATAAATGATTTTTTAATTTAAATTGTACTTATCAATAGTTCGGTATACAAAGATTTGATTAATACCAAGCGGATGGAGTTTCACAAATTGTTTTTTGTTCCATTACTTTGTGTACCTATGGCAATCTTAGCAATAATAAAATAGAGTGGAGTTATAAAGAGAACCGCTTTTTATCACTCCACTCTATTTTAATATCACAAAAATATTTGGCGCACTAGCCTCTTGCCAAAGAAAAAAATATATATTTGGCAACTGATTGGCGCGAAAATGAGAAAATACAATGAACATTTTTTTCTGTTTATCCTTAATTGGAAAGGCAAAGGGAACTGCGCCCATACAGCCGTGTCTTCATATAATATACAATGAACATTCATAAAAGAATGACAGATTCCAAATTCAAATGTAATTTCTTTATTTTTAATTGTAACAATATTTATGGCCTGGCTACGTACATATATATGCGTTGCTAATCTTGAGGATTAGGCTGCTGTTTCTCTTTATCCTGTAATTTCACTGCCAGTAACTGAAACACAGCTTACAAAGCAAGACGGTAACTGCGACAGAGGTACAAAATCAAACGCTTTATATAAAGTCTACTTCGATAAAATATAAAGTATTGAAATAGTTATAACAAAACAACAAAGACATATAAATACCCTTACATATCCAACAAATTTATATGACACACGATGATTGTTATTAAACACTTAATTAAATTGTGTATATTAGAGTATTTTTATGTGCACATTATGTACATATATATAAAATGTACATACATTTAAAAATACTATTAAGAGATATCAATACATGCATCTAGCCATCGTCAAATTGTTTTATACTGCCTTTTCTGTAATTGGAATATCAAGCCGACTACCTACCTGATTATAAGGTGTAACCGTCGCTTACATACACTCGTATGCAGCAATACAGACACGATCACGTGACACCAATCTTGCATTGTCATTCCAGAGAACATAATAAGGATGATAAAATTGTCTCTTATACTATAACTTCGTTGGTTGAATTATCAATTATTAAAATACTTTATTTGATTTCAGCTAAAGTTCCACCAAAAGGACGAGAACATGGAGAATTTCTACGCTAAAATAATTCCTCGCTCATCACTGCCTTCCGATTTTGGAGGAACCCTTCCTGACACCAGGACCCTCAATAAGCAATGCTTCGAGGAGCTGCAGACCTTAGAAGCTTACTTCAAAGCTGAGGAGAATCAGAGATTCTCCGTGTTACCGAACAAGAAAGGAGACAAAGTGGAGGATTCATTTAAGAAACTAGACATAGATTAATGTTTGCATAGACCATAGATAAATCAATTTGCACATGTGATTTTTTGTATTTATTCTTTTTGTTACTGTTTTTTTTTTTGGGTTTTATTTTATAAGGGTATAAAATTAATTTTAATATATATTTGATTATTAATAAAAATACGACAAAGAGTTATAAGATTGAAATCGGTCAGGAATGAACTGTCAAGTATACAATAGCATTATAATACTCAATAGATGTTGTCTGTCCAATTATTTTTATCACTATCATCAGTCCACTACAGTCCACTGCTGGCCATAGGCCTCCCCCAAAGATCTCCACGACGATCAGTCCTGCGCTGCTCGCATCCAATGCCTGACATAGCCCGAAGAATTGCGACTCTGAAGTAGCGATGGGCGGGGCACATAGCTCGTAGGACAGATGGCCGTTGGGGCAGTAAAGTCCTCGAGTGGAGACCACGGACCGGAAGACGCAGCGTGGGAAGGCCTCCAGCAAGGTGGACCGACGATGGACGTCTTCCGGGCTGCGATGACGATGATGATGATTAGTGTTTTCTGGATATATCTAATATTTGAATATATAATTTGGTTTAATTATAAATTAACTACAAAGTTACTATTTAACATTGTGCCTGTTGAGAGTATGTTTTAATAGATTTAAGTAGTACAATTTTTATTTTATATTGTTCGTATACAGGTACTTAAATTGTTATTAGTGAATTGAGCTGAAACTTGTGATTTAAATTATGAAAATATATATTTATAAAATGTTAATGTTCTTTTATTATTTGAACTTGCTAGTCTACTGCTCTACAGAGAGGGTAAAATATCGCGGAATTATTACATTTCTACAAATTCACACAAAATTTAATATTTATTATAAGTAAATAACTATAATAGAAAGGAATCGCGACATAAGTATATAATTTTGAAGTAAACCCCGCTGACTATACTATATATTTGTTTTTTCAAAATTCAAAATTCAAAAATGATTTATTCATGTAGGATATTTTAGCCGCTTATGAACGTAATTTTTTTTATATTATAATTTTTTTTTTAAGCCAGTTTATTTACAACATCGAAAATCCCGTGCATGTACGACTATTGCCATGCACGCTTGCCGTTTTATTTTTATATACCAAATTACATATCTATCTACATCTATACATATAAATAAAATTGGAGTGTCCGTTTGTAATATTGAAATAACAGTTTTTTACTATATGCATATGAATATATGGTATATGTGCCCACATATACCAAAATATCATTTTTTACAATTGTTGTCTGTCTGTTTGTTCCGGCTAATCTCTGAAATGGCTGGACCGATTTTGACTTTTTTAGCAGGTAGCTTATGTAATAAGGAGTAACTTAGACTACTTTTATTTTATGAAAATTTCTTTTATTTAAGAACAAAAAAATCCACGCAGACGAATTCGCGGGAACAGCTAGTTAATCAACATAATTACAATAAATATTATGCCACTTGAACGTAGTAGTCTCGTGTGTTACATATTCTATTCTCGACTGTACAATAAGATAATAATGACATAAATATTTTACAAAAAAGAAACAAAAAGTAAGTTACGACACTCTTATGGCATGATTAGGTACTTTAATAGCAAACCACAAAACCTTATGACTGTTCTCTGATGGGATTGTCAGAGTTTAGAGTATTTTGTATTTTGTAATAGCTAATAGTTACTTTGGTGTATGTATCGAATTTATATTCATATGCATGTAGTAAAAAACTGTTATTTCAATATTACAAACAGACACTCCAATTTTATTTATATGTATAGATTATTTTATTATATTCTTATACTTGCCGGGTCAGCGGCAATCATAGTATTGCCATATAAATTAATGTCGCTATTAAAAAAATAGCGTTTTGATTTTAGAAGGGGAACAATTTAAGGTATATGTATTTTTAATGAATTCTACAATTAAATAATTAAAAAAAATATCTATAATAATATTTGGTGTGGAACACCCTTATGACTTATAAATATAACGTATTAGTATGAAAAATAGTTTGCTTTACGCACTTTCGCATTTATAATATTAGTAAGATATCCTAGGATAACTCACGCTGCTTCATGTAGTCCCACGCTGAGCAAATCTTGTGTTATGGGTAGTAGACAAGGGATAGAAATACTTCTTTATAAATACATACATTAGGTCTACACATAGAAAACACGAAGACCAATGCGAACAATCATACACAGGAATACAAATGTGTGTATTATGTGAGGAATCGAACCTGCGACCATCAGAAGTGAAGCGGTAGGTATGTTGTGTCGGTAACCAAATATCTATATACTACATATATTACTAACATAATTGTGAAAGTTTGAGTGTATGGATGGATTGATGAATGGATGTTTGTTACTTTTTCACGAAGAAATTACTGAACGTATTTTAATGTAACTTTACAGTTATATAGCTTCTACATCAGAATAACACATAGGCTACAAATGTCACGTGGATGAAACCTCGGGCATAGCTAGTTATACATATGAACCTAACAAAGTTTGTTTCGGGGAATCAGTAGAAAACAGCCAAAAATTGCTATTTTGGTTTCTTCTATCAGGAATACTTAGTATTTTAATGAAACTTTACAGTTATATAGCTTCTACATCAGAATAACATATTATTATAGGCTACAAATGTCACGTGGGTGAAATCTCGGGCACAGCTAGTTATAGGTACACATAAACCTAACAAATTCGTGGAAGCAGTAAAAACAGCCAAAAACTGCTATTTTGGTTTCTTCTATCAGAAATACTTATTATTTGTGGTTTAACAGAGAATAACAGTACCTATCGCTCAAAGTACTGTATAAACATGCACTCTCGGTTCAACATGTTAAAGTACAATCCAGTTTACGCGCCCTTTCCATATCACCTCCTAGGTACAGATTAATAACTGATTATAGCATTATCTTTGATTACTAATAAGCCTGATGTTATCAAATTTTACCACACGTCACCAGATGTTTAATAATAATTACAAAAAAACTTATTTGTTTTAAAATTATAATCTAGGATCGAAATCTAATTAATCTATTTCTTTAAATAAATATAAACAAGTGCTAGGGAAAAGTAACTTCGGTAGGGATTTTTTAAATAAAATTCTTATATTTTAGTTAAGATAAGTAAATTGCAAAAAATACTCATCATCATCATTATTTATAGATTTGCCTCTCTACATATAATATGTTTCTATAAAATTTACAAGGTGATGTTACATATCTACGCAAAAAACAAAATTTTATTCAGATATATCTGATCCTGATATCTGACGGATACAAAGACGTTAGCAAATTAAAATAATTATTGAATGAATCTAAATAGGTAATTTAAGTCAAATTATAAATTAATAATATTTTATTAGTAAACTTAGTTACTATTTTAAGCTAATTTTTCACTATCAGTTGGCAACACTGTGTCATAGAGATTATCTGTAAATGGACAATTCTTTATCTGCGGCAGTATCAGTTCAATGTCCAGTGCAATTACTATTCAAATATTCCGTCATTTGAAGCTTTTAAGTCAGTTGTCAATTTGTTGCAAACAAGTGTGGTTGTGTGTCTAATAAACAAACTCCGTGTCGTGTTTATTTACGAATATACTCGTACATTATTAATCAAACAAAATGTCCGTGGATTTGCAATACGACTATGCTGCCGTTACGGCAACTCTGGACAAATTCTCGCAGGCCGATATTGACGCCTTAAAAGAATGGACCGTGAATGCAGACAAATCCAAATACATTCCCAAGGATTTGAGCTCCAATCAGTTGGTATACTTCTACAACGCTTGCTACGGAGATGTTGATAAGGCGAAAACTTGCATCGAGAAGTATTATAGCTACAGGAAAAGTGCATCGGACTTCTTCGACAACCGCAATGTTGATTCGGATGAACTCAAGCCCCTCGTCACCGACATTCTGTAAGTAATATATGTAATAATATTTTAGGTCCTACATAATTACTATTTAGTTCCAATAGTTTTTCCAATGCTTTCAGATTTTCCTAAGCCCTACTTGTTTATAGAAAAAAAAAGTTTTGCGACAATCTTATAAATAAAATTCTCGTGTTACAATATTAGTTACCATACTCCTCTGAAACTGCTTGATCAATTTTTATGAAATTTTATATGCATATTCAGTAGGTCAGAGAGTCGGCTACTATCTTTTTTTTTATTACCCTTAAGTGATAAGGTTTGTCCACCCCTAACATTATTTTTTATTTATATTATTTTATTATATGTCATTAAAAAATAAACCTAAAAATTTACCCTTCTATCACCAACCCCAATTTTTTTATAGCATTATTAATTTATATGGCAAAACAATGTTTGCCGGGACAGCTAGTATTACTATAAAAATAGTTTTGTATTCTAAATTGTAATTAATAAATAAGTTAATTGGATTAATTTTTTTACATCATTACAACATGGGATTACAAATATTATTTTCATTAATTTAATTAAAATTTTTTGATAAGCATGATTATTTCCTAGATTATTTTATAATATCATTTCTATTATTATTTTTTTAAATACGTAGTAAAATTTGAAACACTCTTAATTCTGTTATATTAAAGAATAATGTATTAAGTATAAATGCCGTCATATTGTTATATTTAAAGTAATAAATATTTATATATATGTATTCTTTAGCCATATGATTTTTAATAAGATAAAATACAAATTAAAAAAGTTCCAAATGTAAATAAATATTGCTGTCATACTATAATTGGTCAATATAAGCAGCCAATTTTATTAAACTTCAATTCATTTCATATGAATTACATAAACATCTATTTATAAAGATAAAGAAGTCTATATTTATAATATATTTTAAAATTTTCATATTTTAAAATAGTCCTATATTTAGTCTAAAGTAAGGGGAGAGGATAACTGGTAATAGATAGATGAATTGTTTGAACAATGATATGCATAATAGGTAAGAAAGCTCAGATATGATCGCCGATAGTAATCAGTAAAGAATTACATATTGTGCCAACCCCAAATAAAGGGATGAAGGAAAGGCATCTCTTGTCGATATTTGGGGTTGATGTTTGGTTAATATTTAGAGTTTAAAATAGTAAAGAAATAGTGTTTTTTGTACTTAATAACTATACAATTAAGAACAATTTTTTTTTTAATTATAATTAAAAAAAACTATGATATTAAACAACATAAGAGTATTATATTTTATTTATTTATTTACTTTATTTATAAACTTTTATTGTACCAAGAATTTAACACTGAATTATACAGACAGATGGTCTAATTGCTAGCAAGCACTCTCCGAGACAACCTTTAGATAGAGAAAAAACAATGAAAGTGGTAGGTAGTTCATGAATAGCATATAAGAATATATATATAGGTACTAAGAGAGGCAAGAAGAACATAAATAAATATTAGAGAATAACTGTGATGGACTGTGTGAAAGATGAAATGTTAAGGAAGGGAGTGAATAACTAGATTCCTGCAAACATATATGAATGGTGGAGAAAAACATGTTATGTCGAAAAAATAGATATGTAAAGTACATGCATGCTATCCATATCAGTTGGGAAACTAAACATATCAGCTTTTATGAAAGTAGACACATATTTATTATAGTGTTAGATAATAATGATAGAGATCATTGTCATCTATAGATATTGATGTATTTAGACTAATTTTGACCATGCAACCACATTATTGGAATTATTTTCGAGCAAAGGTATTTCTGAAACGATAGATATTTAAACCTTCAAGAAAAGAGATTCCAGTTTAAGTATTACAATTATAAAACAAACAATAGACTCATCCTCTTTTCTTCTGCTTTCTGTGCCCAAGAGGGTCCATATTTGATCTGCTGAAAGTATTTAAACTTAACAACTACCTAAATTATAAATAAATAAATAAAAGGTCTAAAAAATTTTTTAGTTATTACTCCTTATAACATTAGCTATTTGGTTGCGAAAGTACATTCAAAATAGATCCAGCCGTTTCATATATTAGCAAGGACAAACAAACATACAGATATATATTTAGCAAGGACAAACAGACAAACATTCTGACATGAATTTTTAATTAATTTTTGTATGCATGTAGAACTAACGATCGTTCCCCCGTCTAATTCAAACGACCTAAATTACGACGGCCTGAGCCGAGGTTTAAACCCCCTAGCGGTGCCCTTAGACTAAAGTGGTATCCGGTAGGCGGGAGTTGGCCTTCAGCCGCTCCATAAGTCCTTCCGCGGGTTTGAGTGCCATCTGCACTCGCCCCCTATCGTCTGGTGTAAAGGCCAGATGCGACTAACGGGTTTGAGTGCCATCTGCCCTCGCCCCCTATCGTCTGGTGTAAAGGCCAGCTGCAACTAACGGGTTTGAGTGCCATCTGCCCTCGCCCCCTATCGTCTGGTGAAAGGCCAGCTGCAACTAACGGGTTTGAGTGCCATCTGCCCTCGCCCCCTATCGTCTGGTGTAGCTGTAAAGGCCAGCTGCAACCAACAGCATTAGAGTAGTCCGAAAAAAAATTATAAATTTGTTAAATTTTAAAATGACTTTAGCAGTCATTTTATTTATAACATTGTCATGTAAGCACATGATAAATTATTAGATTGGGAATGATTATCTATAAATAAATAATTTATTACCTGCACGTAGGTATAGATATGTTTTTGACATATTAATCATTTTATCAGGAATTTAATCTTAATAACTTTGTTTACGGACGCTAAGCGTAATGAAATAAAAACAATTAATTATAAATCTATTGAAAATATGATTAGAAATTATTTTGACATGTTCATCAATTAATCATTATAGACCTTGGTGGTCTAGCGGTTTAGCACACCGCTTCAGATGATCGCTGGTTCAATACCACGCCCGGTAGAAACATTTCTATTCCTGAATATGTTTTCAGTATTCCCTTAGTATAAATTACTTTTTTATACCAAGGGAACCAGAGCTGTCATTCCTAAACAGAGGTTTTTTTAACCTATCTAGGAAGTTCAGATACCCTTCTTACTTTCACCTATTTTTTATTTTAGTTTTTAAAACGTTGAAATAGAAATAATATTCAGTCAAATAAACTCAATACAAGCACTTTTGAATAGTCATACTGAAGAATGAGCAAGAAACTTGTGTGTTGCTCTATTGAATAGATGTTATTTAAAATAAATAATCACACAATAACAAGGAAGAGGCATGCGACAACATAGACCCCGCTACGCACTCATGCTTAGTGCCATCAGATAATATTGCATTTGTAATTAGGTTTTATTATTGTATATAAATAAATTACATTTAATTTAACTCTGTGACTTTTTTTTTCAGGGAATTCGCGGTGCTCGGCCAGTCCGTTGAGGGCTATGATGTCGTCTTCCACAGACTATACAACACTGAACCTTCCAAGTACAACTTCGAACTTGGTTGCAGGCTGCTCTTCATGACCATCGGTGAGATCATATTTTTATATTACCTTGTTATCTAACCGGCTTCATATAATAATCATTTACTTAAAAAATACAACTCAAAATACTACAAAAAGGAACCAAACTCTTTCAAATAAATGTTTTATCATAACGGTTTATAAATGAAGCAGATGAATCAACAATCATTAAAAAAAAACAGCCGAATTCAGAACCTCGAGCTTGTTTCAAGTCAAAAGGTGTATGATTTTAATTTGGCCGAAATTCTTTTCAATTTGTTTCTGTGTACTTCAGGCATATTACAAAATTATTTTTTATAAATTACACGCAGATGAAACCGTGGGCACACCTAGTGTTTATATAAATAAGAATCATATAAAGTAAAGATAAACCGGTTTATAATTTTCGTTAGTAACCAAACGTGTTTATTTCTAGCAAAATCTATAATGTTTTATACAGTAAGGAGCAGATGTTATATGTAATGTTATAATGAAGGAAACGCCACTACACATCCTATGTGGTTGTAGCCCACTCATGCATAAACGAAATATCTCATTTGGAAAGTATACACTCTATCCTGAGATGATAAAAACCATCGTTCCTAAGAATATCCTTCAATTGTTGTCCCTCACGGGTCTAGGTAGCGAACTTTGAAAAAGAACGAGCACAATAGATCTATACAGGTCGCAGTGTTATAGGTCTTAGCACCGGAGAAGAGCCCAAACCCCCCAATAAAAAAACATGCAAGAATGAATGTAAACTCCTAATTAATTGTTTTGTAAAAAAGTTTCATTGTTTGAAAGGTTATTACATGACTATTTCAATATATATACTATTCCAGAGTTATATAAGATATATTTTTGTAAAATAGCATTAATTTATGCTAATATTATAAATAATACTCGACAGATTTGAATCTTATCTAATTTTAATCTTATAGAAAACTACATTCAATAAGTTAAACTGAAGTATGAATAACATGGTGTAATTTTGGTTGATATTTCTATCAACTTTTAAAATGTAAAAAGTGATTATTGTGACATAACGATACTAGTTGGACATATAGTATCGTGAAGTTGAATGTAGTTATTGATATGTAGACAGTTTTGTTCTATCGCCAATGGTTTCCGCAGCGCACGCGACGAATTGTAATTTATAGCTTTTTTTTACACCTTATTACCTTACTAAAGTTTTAGTAAAGATCCCTAGTATTTTCTATCAATAAATATAGCCTATGTGAATGTAGCTTTCTAATGGTAAAGTAGTTTTTAAGTTTATTCATTAAACATACACACAAAAATACTAATCTTTCCGCTTTATAATATTATTATAGATGAGCAGCACCTGGGTATAAAGCTAGTATATCATAAAATGCAATCATTCATGATGTGGTCAATTTAACGATTTTGTCATCATGACATAACATAATTGTTATTAAATAAAATGTATTGTTATAACATACTAATGTCTGTTATATTAATACATATATCTATATCATAAAGCGTACCTATCGATAGTGATTATATACAGTAATCGCCTTTCAAGGCCTCTGAGGGTGTTAGCAATGTTGATAACGTTCTGCCATAAATATCCCTCCCTCCCACTGTCAAATATTCCACTAGAGGTATACTTGAGCAAACACTTCTGCATGATTACCTCTGGATTTCCCCTCTGATCGATCATCCAATTCAGTAGGGATCGAAATTACGACGGCCTAAGCCTAGGTTCTAACCCCTACCGTGCCGTTAGACTAAATTTCCCTCCGATCGATCATGCAATTCAAAAGGGATTCAAAATTACCACTGCCTGAGCCGAGGTTCGAACTCCTAGCGATGCCTCAGACTAAAGTTCCCATCGATCGATTATCTAATTCAAACGGGGATCGAAATTATGACGACGGAAAATATGTTCGAAATCCTAGCGTGCCACTGATGGCAGAAGGCACTCCCGGATACGACTATAGTAATATCCGTCAGACGAGAGTTGGCTTTCAGCAGCTCCATAAGTCCTTCCGCGGGTTTGGAGTGACATCTGCACTCGCCCTCTATCGTTCGGTGAAGCTGTAAAGGCAAATTGAGGTCAACAGTATTAGAATAGTTCGTATAATCCGTAGATTTTCTAATTTCGCTGCTAACTACTTGATTTGTAAGCTGACTTTCCTGAGTATAGTGAGATTGGTAGTAATTACAAGGTGTAATAGCATGAGATCTTAGTCCTTAGGAATAGATACTTTAAACGTCTTCAAAATCATTTGCTTTTTTCTTATCCCATTTATTTGGGGTCGGCGTAATAAGTTTTTCTCTTTCTTTCATCTCTGTTCACATTTTTGACGACCGTCATGGCGTTAATCATTAACCACTTACCATTAGACAGGTCGTCTGGTTTCCTATTATAATTTAAGTAAAAATTAAGATTTTTTATTCCTTTAACGATGTTTCACGCACTTTCTTCCGCGATTCATCATCAGTTTGTGTTCAGGGTCGGAAATCTGGTTTTTGCATTTCATTCTTCCGCAATTACTGCACTATTTACTTATATTATTCACTTAAGACTACCGGTATTATTTACGATCGCCATTTTGTATCGTATATTACATGTAGATTAATATGAATAAATGTGAATAAAACTAGCTCTTACTCGCAACTTCGTCCACGTAGAAGTAAACTCTCTTTGTTATTAAAATAAATAAAATATCTAAAATAGCCTTAGTTACTCCTTACAGCATTAGCTATCTGTGAGTGAAAGTCCCGTCAATTGGTCAGACCTTTCAGCGATTAGAACAAACAGACAGACAGATGAACAATTTTTTTTATTAATATTTGATGTAGGTCCAGTCCTAAAGTATATAGTTATGGACCTACATATGAATTTAGTAAAAAAGTTGTTAATTTGAAAATTACTTTGCTTTAATTTTAGTTATTTGTAAAGATAATTTCATTTCTTACACATTTTTCTGAGTTGTAAAAGTAGTAATTTCACTTAAACCATTTTTCTTCAACTTAAACAATTTTAGGTCTGGGGGAAAATTGTTTAGTTACACGATCGTATGCTTGTTTGCCACCATCGTGGTATAAAAAACACTATCACTGGCTTTCGGTTAGTACCTAAATCCATTGCGATTAACACTGTTTACTAAAACTTCATATGCGATATCGTACTCCAACCCACCGAACCTACCAAATCATTCAAGGCCTTATGGTGTAAGTATAGGACGTATATTCATTCCGGCCGACGACTTTGGTTCGACCTTCGTTTTATTATGCTAAACTAACTGGTTACAGACGTTCCAACTAATTCTATCGTCATTATAGATTGTAATAATAATAATAAAAATTTTATACAAGCTGATTCATTCATAATTTAAGAGCCACGCTCTTGTGAGTGGAGTTCTAGAATCTTCTCACGGTCTTCCATCGTCCTCTTTAAATATTGATACTACTCCAATTCTGTCTTTAATTTACTTGATGTATTTTTGCCTTGGTCTTCCCGTCCTCCTCTTTTCTTCTATTTTCCCTCCAGTTATAATAGTTTTCATAAACTCATTGTCCCGTATCAAGTGTCCCAATATTGTCCCTCGTCTATTTTCAATAGTATTTGTATCTTCTATTTTCCCTCACTATTTACTTTCATAAATACATCGTGCCCTATCAAGTGTCCCAACTAGTCGTCTGTTTTCAATAATATTGAATATCTATCTTTTTTCTTTCATCCTTCATTTCTATCTATATCTCCAGCTAATTCTTTCTTCCATCCTTTTCCAACAAAAAGTCGTCCACATGAGTACCAAAATCACCTATTTCAGCCGTCAAGCAGCTTGCTTTGCATATTGCTATGACTCAGACTAACTTTTATGTCTAAAAATACAGACGAAGTCACAGCTAAAAACTAGTATTATCCCAAATTGTATGTACATGTAATACGGTCATAATAAACACAGTTGCGAAAATATTGCCATAAACAAAAACTTTCGACACACACCATTAGTGTCTACATTCTCTATAGCGATTTGTGCAATATGACTTATGAAGGCTGCGTGAGGTCACTCGTAAGGACCGAGTTGAGACCTTCTAATAAACAAATAAACAAACAAAAACAAGTGCCAGGTACCTTACTACCTATAATAAACCTGCTACTTTATTATGTAACGCTATTTACTAATCACTTGCAACAAATTCGATAAAGTTAGCAATTTTATACAATACTAGCTGTGCCGCAACTTCGTCCGCGTAAATTGTCATTTTGACGAAATAAAGAAAAAATATTTAATAATCTAAAACAAAAATCCAAAGAAAGAAAGAATAGAAAATCATTTATTCAAATAAACTTACATTGAAGCACTTTTGAATAGTCATTACATTTTTTAATCTACCGCTCGTTCGGAAAGCTGTCTCATCGAAAGTGTTGCTCTTTTAAATAATTTTATTATTACTTTACATTTTTAAGTTTAAGTGTGTGAATACAAACCACCAATTAGCACTAATTCAATTAAATACTCAAATAGAAAAAATATTGAATATATAACCAACTGGTTAAACAATTAATAATAAAGAACAAAGTTCCAGCGTTCGACCTTCAAAAATGACGAATTTCCATACAACTTTAATCCTCTATTTTATTTTACGCCCTTTAGGGTAAAAATTTTACAAACTTTGAATGTCACATTTATTTCTATTTAATCGACAACCTAAAAAATTGTTTCAAGCTTTTAGCTTTAAAAATCACGATACTTCCATACAGGTAGTATGACGATATCTCTATACAATCTTTCATCTCCTCTTTCAACCCCTTACAACCCTTTTTTCAGATTAAAAAGTAGCCTATGTCCTTTCTCAGGGTCTAGACTATCTGTGTACCAAATTTCATTTAATTCAGCTCAGTAGTTTTGGAGTGAAAGCGCGACATACTGACAGATAGACTTACTTTCGCATTTATAATATGTCCATCCTCGTAATTTAACTCGGAGGTCTAGTGGTTAAGCACACCTAAACAATACGTGCGGGCTCTATCCTCGAATAATGCAAACATTTGTATTCATGAGTATGATTGTTTGTATTGCTCTGGGTATTTCCCATGTATAATTTGTATGTATTTACAAAAAAATACCCATAACACAAGCTCGGCTTAGTTTGGGGTTAGATAGTGTTCTGTGAATTATCTATGGTTATTGTTATTTATAACTAGCTGTAATCGCGACTTCGTCCGCGTGAAATTTAACTTTATTTTTCCAAAATAAAAGTAGCCTATGTTACTCCTTATTACATCAGCTACCTGCCAAAAAACTCCATTTCAGAAATCATTCCAGCCATTTCAGAGATTAGCCGGAACAAACAGACAGACAAAATTTGTGAAGAAATTGTTTGGTGTATGTATGTAACGTATTTATATGCATACGCATGTAGTAAAAAACGGTTATTTAAATATTACAAACAGACACTCCAATTTTATTTATATGTATAGATAACTTCGTCACAAACAGACAGATACACACATTTTAATATTAATATAGATATGGATAAACAGTTATGTATATTTACGGTATTTATATATATGTATATAGTAAGTAGCGAGTGTAGGTACATAATAATTGGTCATAACTCTACGACAAAATTAATCCGCAATTCTTTGATATGAAAACCAGTTTTGCGATATGTCAAGGGCATCCGATATAATAACAGTTATATGTAGTGGAATATCACTAGAAACATCCAGAATATATACCATTTACGTTTCTCTGACTGTCTGTGATGTAATCAATTTAAAAAAAATCATTTTTATGACGATCCCTGTGGTCTGGCAGCTTAGCACATCGCCTTACATCCGACGGTCGCGTTTTCGATTCCTTGCACGGCACAAACATTTATATTCATGAGATTGTTTGTATCAGTCTGGTTGTTTTCTATTTATAATATGTATGTATATATTTAAGAAAAAAAAACTATGTTTTTGTATCAGTTATCTACTACCAAGGAATAGCTACATCAAACAAATTGAGGACAAAATGGGAGTCGTGTCGTATCAAGAATTAAAGAGCATGATGGAAGATCGCGGAAAGTGGCAAGAGCTCCACCGACAAGAGCGTAGCTCTTAAATTATGAATGAATGAATGAATCTACTACCCATAATACAGGCTTTAGCAAGCTTAATCTGGGTCTAGATGACGCTTTGTGAATTGTCATGAGATTTTTTTTATGTAAACCTTAACAAACAGACAGTTAGTTTTCGCCTCGACATTATTTCATTATATGTAAAATAGATTCAAGACATCCGGCGTCCAATGTGAGTGATGGATGCATGAATATTCAAAATTCTTTTATACTAAACTAGCTGTGCCTGCGACCTCGTCCGCGTGAAATAGTCACCTTGGCCCAAAAATATTTCATAATGTAACCCAAAAAATTAAAAAAATAGTGTCATCGTTCTAGAAATAGAAATAGAAATAATCTTTATTCAAATAAAAAAAAAAAAATGTGTCGGAATGCAGATTCATCACAAGAAGAATAGCTCTTTTTAATAGATGTTTTTCTAGCTACAAAAATGACGACTTTACATCCCCTATTTTATTTAACCCCCTTAAGGGTAAAATTTTTACAAACTTTGAATGTCATATTTACTTATATTTAATCAACAGCTCAAAAAATAAGTTTCAAGCTTCTAAAATGACGATATCTCTATAGAATCTTTCATCTCCTCTTTCAACACCTTACACCCCTTTTTTCACTTCAAAAAGTAGCCTATATCCTTTCTCTGGATCTAGACTATCTGTGTACCAAATTTCATTTATATCAGTTCAGTAGATTTGGCGTGAAAGCTAGACAGACAGAGTTACTTTCGCATTTATAATATTAGTAAGGAGTAAGGATTAGCGATGCGTTACAAATCTTTGAATTTCTCGGCTTGTTCTATACTATAACACGCATGTATTACACATAAAGACCTGCCTCTTGAATCACTCTATCTATTGCTGAAAAGTGCAATAAAATCCGTTTCGTAATTAAAAATATATAAACGAACAGACATAGGCCGTGACTTTGTTTTATACTTTATAAAGATGATTATGTAGCACAGTATTTATTAATATAAATTACATAAATGTATTGTCGTTCAAATAAACTTTATTTTAATGTCATTTATTTACTAACTACATTTTTACCACCTTTTTAATACTAGATTTTTAACTACCTTTTTTTTAATAATAGAAAGGCGAATCTTTTGTAGTTCGCGAAGTAGACCGCAGATTTTTCATTCTTTAGTTCGTTTGACAAAGTACTAAAGAGGTCCTGTTAAAAAAGCATGAACATATATTTGCATACTAAATGATAAGTTACTGTATTTGTCGTTAAAAAAAAACGCAATGAAATGAATGTGTATTTACAATATATACACTTAATAACATTAAAAAAAATGTTAGCAGTGTAAAAAATCTCGAGACTTGAGTTGCAACTTGCAAGTGAACTAGTTGGGAGAGTAGCTGCCAACTAAATTAATCGCTTGCAATCGCGAACTATTATACACAAGACTAGTCCAAATAGTCCGGAGTTGCCAGTTATAAAATGAGCTAATTTAGATATTTTATTCATATTTCCAGATAGCTGTTTGACAAAGCGTGGCCCATCGCCCGGTATCATCTTCCTCTTCGACATGAGAGGAGTGAAGTTGGGACACTTGACCCGTGTTGGATTATCGTATGTATTTATTTATTTAATTTTCAAAAAAACCCTAATCAAATGTTCTTCGAGACGAATATATATTAAGAGTGTACTACCGAAGGAAAGATGGTTAAAATATATGATGGACGGAATGAAAAGTATGCTAATCCTGTAAAAGAAATGCAAGTGGCCATTCTTGAATGTTCCACTGTATTTTAGAATGATAGACATGTTTGATCATGGAAGTTTTGGATGCGAGAGAGGGATGTCTTTGTCCAACACGGGAGCACAAATTAGGATATTAAAAGTATAAAATGACAATGTTTTAGGCAATTGAAGAACTTTTGTTGTCGGCGCTTTTAGTTTAAACCATGGAAAAGATTTCTTACATTAATAAATACATGATATCGAATCATGTTTAAAAAATGTTAACAATAAACAATTTGTCTATTCACAATGATTTTGTTAAAATATTGACATTGCTTGCGTATATAATTATTTATAAGCCTGTTAGGTACATATAGAGGCCATTAAATATATATTATATAATAATATAACTTCCTGAAGTAATCATTGACCAATTTACCTAAACTCAATGTCATTGTCATGAATAGTTATTAGATATTACGCAGTAATCAGGTATTATAGGTAGTATAGCACTATCATATATGTACTTATATGATAAAATATCATTTTTATTAAAATATAGAGTCTCGTTGCTCAATTGTTTACTACCCGGACTCACATCCAAAAGGTCTATTAGTTCAAATTTAAATATTTTGTTTTTGTGGCCCATACAAATTATTTAGAGATATGTGTAAATAATTGTTATGGAAAGGCAACAGGAATAATATTTAATTTCAAATAAAACAAGAGACGGTTTGATCGCCACCTGCCACGTTGGACTCAAATATATACCCAGCGAATTGTATTGTACATTTAGTTACATCTTTTTAAATTCCCTCCGATCGAACCCCGTTCAATTCAAACGTGAATCCATTACGACGGCCTGAGCCAGATGTCGAAACCGTAGCGGTACCCTCAGATTAAAGTCGTATCCACCAACGTCATTGGCCTTCAGCTGTTCCACAAATCCTCCCGCGAGTTTGGAGTGCCATCTGCACTCGCCCCTGTCGTCCGGTGAAGCTGTATAGGCCAGCTGCGGCCAACAGCATTAGAGTAGTCCGAAAAGTATTTTTTACTTCGTAACTACAGTTAGCCAATACAAACATGTAAAGTGCTACAGCGAGCATATACCGTGAACACACAAGTAGTTAAGTTAAATGTCATAAGGCGAGTGTGCGACAGTAATGGCATATTTATGATGCATTATAATTTTAAATAATTATTGATACTAGTACTAAATACTTGCTTGGTATCTATGTATGATTAGATCCCAACTACTTTATCTACAAGAGTAGTTATTCCTATGTGAGTACATACGTTCATTGCTCTATTGAGAATAATCAATTGACAACCTTATTAATATTATAAACGCAAATGTTTGTGAGTATGGAGGGATGTTTGTTACTCTTACACGCAAAAAACTATTAATATTATAAAGGCAAATGTTTGTGAGTATGGAGGGATGTTTGTTACTCTTACACGCAAAAAACTATCGAATAGATTTTAATGAAACTTTATAATAATATAGCTTATAAATCAGAATAACAATAGACAGTACGACTACAAACGTGGGTGAAACCGCTAAAAATAAATAAAACATCGACCTACATATATAAATTAATCATTATTATTCCATTAATGAATCAATTATGAAATTTGTAGGTAGCAGATTAAAATTTACACAAGATTAACTATTGCCCTTTATTTTCCCAACTTTTCTAAAATGACCCATATTTATCGTCATATTCTGTAAAAACTTCTTTATAATTCCTCCAGTTCTTTTTACGTGATACATTAACACACGAACAGACAGATTACGTTACGTGTCAACTTTAATGTATTATTATATGTAAAGATGTTCCATGAATGTAAAATATTTTATATATTTTTAGCTTTCAAAAGGACAAACAAAGGTAAAAGACACGCAATAATGCCGAATATATTGTAGAATTTATCGCGCTCAATATTTTCTTTCATAAAATCCTAAAACCTTATAAATGTACTCAATTTTTAGCATAAAACAACCTAACCGATATCTAAATATTAACTCCTTTATGTTTCCTTTAGGTAAAGTTTGTCTTTTTTACACAAATTACTAGCTACTAGATGACTGTAGTCAGAGATGATCATTTACGTAAAATTATTGGGAGATGTAGTAAATCAAAACTAAAAAAAATCTAAACGTTAGTACCTACGTATTTAAAATTCTCAAGTGGTAGTCGCGAAGCTATCCAAAAGCAAGGACCTAGATTTGGTTCAAAAAATATAAGAAAGAAGTCAATTCCATTCTAATGAAATTCTTGTCTATCTAATTTTACAAAATTTCTTCAAATATTTATTATTTATCCATTGTCGTTTTTGTAGCGTATATTATTTAGTAGTTTTGTTTTTTATGTCTATAATTAATGGTTATATAATTATTTGTAATAATTACCTAAATCATAATGAACTGATATTTAATAGCTTTATTACGTAAACTACATGAACTAAAAAAATGCCCAGAACAATTTACTTTTATACTACTAAATACTCTATACTACAGATAGTAAATAATGTACCGAGTGAAAATTCAAAACATTTAAAAACGTTTATTATAATAAATATCATTTCTGTCCGCAGACATCTCCGCAAGTTCTTCCAGTTCGTCCAGGAGGCCATGCCTGTCCGTATGAAGGCAATCCACGTATTGAACACTGAAGCGTTAGTGGACAAACTAATTCTGCTCATCAAACCGTTTATGGATAAGAAATTCTATGACATGGTAAGTTAAACTTTTTACCACCTTTTTACGAAAATTGCGGAAATTTCATACTCCTCCGTATGAAATTTCGCACACTTATACTTTACTAGCTGACCCGCGCAACTTCGTCTGCGTTTCATGTCTGCACCTTTTTCAATATTTTTCATTGCAGCTCTGCTCCTATTTGTTGTGGCGTAATGTTATATAGCTTAAAGCCTTCCTCAACAAATGGACTATCCAACACAAAATTTATATTCAACACACAGTTCTAGATAGGCCAAGATATTTTAGAAGTGTGTAGAGACATTTTGCTGGTATACCTCTTACTTCCACTTCGACCACATATAAATTGTATATTATAAAATATTATGATATGATTTCAGTTGAAGTTCCACCAAAAAGACGAGAACTTGGATAGTTTCTACGAGAAAGTAATTCCACGGTCATCACTTCCTTCCGACTTCGGAGGCACCCTTTCTGACCTCCGGACCATCAATGCCCAGAACACTGAGAACCTAAGATCCTTACAACCTTACTTCAAAGCCGAGGAGGCGCAGAGATTCGCCGTGTTACCAAACAAGAAAGGAGACAAAGTTGAGGATTCATTCAAGAGCTTAGATATTGATTAATATGTGTAAATATAGAACATTATAACAGATAAAAAATATCATTTGGGGATTATTCAGTGTTGTATTTATATTTTTTGTTAATTATTTTCCATGCATTCGGGTGGTGTATAACTTATCTTGGGAAATAAGTGAAATGTACTTATACATTCAATATATATAATATTTATTATATTTAGTTGCCGTCGTGATATTTCCAAAGTGATTATTTTGTATAAGGAACATGTTTTAGGTGAATATTTTATGGAATATAATGCGCAGAACTTTACTATTGATAAGTACGACGTTTAGGGAACCATCGGAATTGCTGAGTATATGTGAATTTTATACGTGACTGAAATTCTAGAGTATCGGACGTACATATTGTAAATATGTACGAAATTTACATTTCCTGTTCGACTGAGAGCTTATGACAAAATCTAGTACATGATATAAAGGTATATAAACTATTATTATCGTCCTTTGTAAGTATAGACAATTAAATTACTTAAGTAAATAAGTAAAAAATGCTGTAGAAAACATGTGTTTACTTGCATATGCTACCAGCTTAGGTTTTGTAGGAAGCTATTGAAGTTTTTTTTAATTAGATAAACAGTATTATGTCAGACAATTGCTCAAAACTCTAATTTATGTTAAGTAAGCATATGAATAATTGCATATTATAGGCACAATTACCATGTTGCATTGCTCTATCAAACTTTCATTGAAATATCTCCTTTAAATTTAATTATTTTTATTAAATAATGATAATTTAATAAAACAAGACTCGTAGGCACTCGTAATGAATAGAGTATGTCAATTATAATGTGCACTTATTTCTAATAGTAGAGCAAAAGGCAAAGCAATATTTATACTTGCAAATATAATTGTTGATACTACAGATTTAGGTAAATAGTTCTATTTAGTTGCATTTATTGTTAAGTGGGAAATGTAGGAAATTCTAAACTAATGATAATTATAACAATTGATGTAATTTTTATAAAATGAAATATTATTTTATTTAAAAAAACTATATGTATTGTTATAATTAGTGATTACTGTGTTCTTTGTAGATATTAAAATCATATTTACTTAAAATAAACAAATGCAATATATATAATAACTGTTATATCACGATACGAGATAATTAGTTATATATTTAATTAGATCAAAATATAATTGCACCTTAATTTCTTCTTAACATCACATGTATTGAGATATGTTCATGAAAATAGATTAGCACTTTACTGTCTCCATAGACAATTCATTTAAATATAGCCATAGAGAATACCGCCATTTTTAAAAAAAGAAGGTTTATTGTCGTGACAACTATTTATTTTCTGTCTCTGCGGTTTCTAGTACTTATTAGTGGTGGTTTTAATTTTTTATGTACTTAAATGACATTGTGCGCGTGTTATGGATTGCTTTGTTATATTGTACCTGTTATATTCCATTAGATTAGTTTGAATTTGTGATATAATGTTTGCATAGTACTTATTTCCTTTTTGGTACTTAACTGAGTCGAAACATGTGATTTTAAATTGTGTAGCAATATATTTTTATAAAACGTTATTTTTTTTTTATTTTCCTACTCCAGTACACTTAAGTCACTTGAATATTTTTTTTTCGCTAATATTATGGTTTAGGAACTGTGTTAAAGCCTAAAGCTTCGCCCTTGGCAGTGAAGTCGCTGGGTACGGAGGTTTGAAATCTTAGTCTTCAGAAATAGACTATAGGTACCACGGGCGACGAAATTTATTCTCTGGATCGGTGAATAAATTTCGTCGTGGTAACGGTGCGGCTTTCCATATGATCAGTAGGAAAAAACAAAATGATGAACAAAATGGTAAAATATTTTTGTTAAGTTGACACACGTCAATAAAGTCTCAATTCTGCGTAAACAGATTTTATTGCTGACAAAAATTTCAATCTTCTGAAAGATTGAGAACATTACAAAGACAAATCTTTCCCCAATATCGAGTTTGTATCAGTTTTATTAAATTACTACTTTTAATTTCTTAATACAAATTACAAATATATACAATAATTTAGAAAAATACTAATCATGTTCAGTAAGTGTACTATGAACTAGCGGGCGACTATAAAAAACCTTAAATTGGGAAATAATTGGTTTTTTTTACACCCTACGAGAAAAAAGAACAAGAACACAAGCCTCTGTCGCTAAAAAGGCTAAAAAAGATCAATAGTTTCATAAACCTACCAAAGTGACTTAAAAAGGTCATACAGCAGTTTTGTAAAGCAAATTGAGGTATAATAAATTCAAATACAAGTAGTAAAAACAAATGGGGCCGGGATACAAACTACTTTCTTGGAAGTTTTTTCATAACTACAATTTGTAAGGATTTTATACTAAATTTAGGCAAAATACTATTATCAACTGGCAACAGTGTAACGGCTAATGAGCAAAAAAATGTAATAGGTACGGCCTCCATATTGATAAATTTTATTTTTACTTATAATTTATTACTTAAAAAAATACTCCTTTTTTATTTGCAAGTTCTATAATTTTTAATAGTAAATAACAATATGTATTTTTTATTATAATATATTCATAAATCTAATTTCAAAAGATAAATATTCGATTATCGAATCAAATCGAATGAGATCGGTACCGCCATAGAGTATCACTCAACTCAAATGAACGGAACGATGTCAAATACACGTTTATTAGCCGAATACAAAATATAACCGTCATTCAGCACCTGCCTCTACTTTTTTGTTTACTTTCTCGATAACTGAAAGTTATGAATGAAAACCATACACACTGGTATTCTGTTCAATGAAAAATATAAGGAAATTATGTTTGAAGTGTAATTCAGTGACTGTAACGCATGTTTGGAGTTGTATTTTAGAATATATGAGGTAAGAATAACAGCGAAATGTTCTATAAAGTTTCTTTATTGTGTAGGATTAGTTCAGTTATTATTAAATAAATTTATATTCATAAAATTGAGAATTTTGTGATATGGATACATGTCATAATTTATAATAAGAACTAGTGTTGTTTAGTGTTATTGTATTCTATGAATAATATTTTAGGAGTTCAGTAAACTCAACCCAAAATATATTTATAATGTATTGTTTGGATTGGTAAAAATGGACATGAAAGGTAAAGAACAATAAAATAAATGTAAATATTTACAATATTTGTTATTTACATAATTAAATGTTTAATATATTTTCGTATTATACATTTACTTTTGTTACATTTTTTTTTTAACTTGACTAAAGAGTACTACATATAAATACTAAAGTTTCTTGACAAATACTTAACATTTTAAATGATTATGTTAAATGAATATATCCAATATTTATATATTATATACAAATTGCGAAATATTGGGAGTGCCATCTAGTCCCAAGCTAAGCGGAGCTTCTGTTATGGATACTACAACTTGGTGCTATAAATACATAGATTACTTACATACTATTTGTAAATTCTTTACGTACACAATATACATAGAAAACAATCTGACTGATACAAACAATCATACTCACATGTACAATTTTTTGTACTGTGCAAGGATTCAAGTCCTCAAATTTAAATAATGTATAATAACTTAAAATATGTTAACAAATTCCATATTCTTTCTTTCTATCTCTTGCCTAATCTCTATAGAGAGTCTAGTACACATCCTGTCTACCTTTGTAATAATTATATATAAACTAGCTGTCCCGGCAAACATTGTTTTGCCATATAAATTCGTAATGCTATAAAAATTTAGGGGTTGGTGATAGAAGGGTGAAATATAAGTTTTAAATTGTATTGTAGTTTTGATTTTCAATCAAGTATAATTATATTAAAGTTATATGTGTTTTTTTGTGATTCCAGTTGATTATGGACTCAGTTGACAACAACCAATTTGAAGTTAAACCTTGTACAAAAGCGAAGAGGAAGATAACAGCACCGTGCTCCACGGCATACATGAATCCGGCTCTTGATATACTTGCAAATGAGGACCCCATGTGCAACACAGCTATGGAAATTGTCCCCATAAAGAAACGTAAACGATCGAAAAGCTGTGATATAGCATCATTTGAGAACACTGCCTTAGATGTCGGTGTAAGTAAAGTGGCTGTGAACGAATTCCTAGTCAGGGAGTTGGAGAATGTCCGTAAAAATCTGAAACCAATTGATTTACAAACCGAATTTAAAGAAAATATACCAATGGTTGCCACACATGCCACTGTGGAGCCAATATACGCAAACTCCACTGATATGTCTATAATTCAGAATAGTTCTACAGGCAATTCAACACTTTCAAAGAAAGAAATCTCTAATAGTATGGACATTTCTGAGTTCCGGCCTGATTTTAGTGATATTGAAATGGATTCTGGTATATCTATTCTTGAACAAAGATCTTTGAATGCAGCTGCCAATACTGATGGTGGGGATCAAAACCTTCATTCATCAGTTAACACAACAAACATACAAACCAATGTTACAAACCAAATATTTATTAATAACACAAGTAATTTAAGTCTCAGTTTTATAGATCGATTAGCTTTAGACTCTCCTAACTTAACAAACCAGTCTTTATATTTAGATGATGATCTAAATGAGAGTAATATTATGGAAATAAAAACTATAACAATAATAACGAAAAAGAAACGCATACCTGAAAGAAAAAAAATCACCAATCCATTTTTAGATCCTAATTTAGATCTGAATTATGATGAAACATCACAAAATCCGTTTTTAGATAATGATATTAAAGAATTAGAATATAATGCAGATATAACAAATAATCCTGTCGAAGTACACACTCAGCAAAGTCATAACAACTTGTTGCCTCGTAGGCTATTCGCTAGTGAGACGAACAGCACGATATCTACAGTAAATGAGTCATTAAATATTGATAATCAACACGAATACGAAAACGTTGATAGTTACCGTACAGAAAGTCCTATTTACGAGAATGTCGGTGATGAATTAGATGACACAAATTACAATAAACAAAGCAAAATATTAGGCTGCGATGTATCTCGTTTCAGTGCTGTTGATATCATGAATTTGAATAAAAATGTATACGGAGGCAATGGGTCTAATGAATGTAGTGAAAACAAGAAAGATTTTAAGCATCAAATACTAAAAGCTAGTAATAAGTTATCTAAGAAAGTCATGAAAACGCTGAAGAGGACTTTTAAAGGAGATAAACCTGAATATAATGTCACACTTAATCCTTACGAAGTACCCAGGAAGCCACCAAAGCAAAAAATTGTAGCCAAAGATTCAGGGATAGAGAATCCCGCACTTAATCTGAATAATTCAGATGAAATAGAAATAGAAGAATTTGATGACGATGACGAGCATCAATATGAAACTATAAAAACATTAAGAAATACCCAACTCAACATGAATGTCACTCCTTTGAAAGAACGAGACATTGATAATATTGAATATTCGCATAATAGAACTAATACACCGGGAAAGAAGGTCCGTTTTGATTCAACTTTAAACCAAGAGAAAATCATAACTGGCAATAGTTTTGAACTACAGAGTCCAGGGTTCGATTCTAAAATTGACAAGTATCATGATGAGTTGGAGAATTGTATTAATGAAAGAAAATTTTTACAACAAAATATGTGATATTGATGTAAACAGACGAACAATTATATAGTTCATTACTGACTAGTAATTAATTTTTAGAAGTGTACCAGTGGAATTGAGTTTTAAACAGAACTAAATGTAGAGTCCTAAATGAAAGAGTTTATATTAAAACAATATTGATAAAATATTCCATATCTAGGACTACGTAAATAATCGCATTATTTACATCAGAAGGCTAGGAATTCTAGGAAGATCAAAATGTTTATCTGAACCTAATTGTATTTACATCAAAAAGTTTAAGCAACGGCCGTCTGTGTGCCAATTCGATTTGCTTTGCAGTATGCAAGTTGCTTGATATTTACGGTTCAGTTTTGGCCTTTGAGTTTTGACCAAGGGACAAAGATAAAATCTATTCTTTTTTTTGGTCTTTTTACATCACATTGATTATGTAAATACATAGTTTGTATCTTTTATAAATTATTGACAATTTTTCGCTTTGCATTTTAGAGAAATTTGCTCAGTTTCAAGAAACCCTTTCGACTTCTTTCGGCAATGCACTTGCAATTCTCTTGGTTTTGCAGATGTTCATGGGCGGCGGTAATCACTTACCATCGAGTGAGTTGCAAGCTCGTTTATTCCCTATGCTATAATAATATAAAAAATTAGAGGTTCCCACTTACCATCTGGTCGTCCATTAAATGGTTGCCATTTAATGCCAGTTACTAACTACCACCGTATATTTATATTTTTTCCATGTACTTAATAATAATGTAGATTCTATTGAATTTATATTTTAGACGTTTAGATATTTTTAAATATTATACCTATGTTATTAAGTTATTTCTATAAGTTGTTTCCAAAATGAATTTTACATTCCAAAGTTGATCCAAAGTGAGGCTCATGTTCTACATAATAATTAGTTATAATTTTATCTAATTTATGTTTAAGCGATATGCAGATGTTGATGTATGGTCCAGAAGGGTTATAAACCCATTTTACATTGTATATAACATTTTTCCACATCTTTACCGATATTGATTTTGTATAAAGTCGTACATTGTAGAAAATAAACTAAACTTGTGTTATGGGTACTACATGGAGACTACAACTGATACCATTATCATCATCATCATCATTTCCTGCTTCTTCTTTATCCCATTCATTTGTGGTCGGCGTAATGTTTTCTCTTCCATTCGTCCCTGTTCGCAGTCATCTCGCTTTTTTCGACCTTGCTCTGCCCTTATAACCATCCACATTCATAAACACCTTTCTTAAAATATTATGTTCATTCCTACGCATTACATGCCTATACCGTGATAGACGATTACTCTTCAACCTCTCTGACATCTTATCCATTCTTCTCACATCACACACTATATGTTATACCACAACTGATGGCATATGTTCTTTTTATTAATAACATCTATCATGTACCATATAAGAAGCAAATATTAATGAAAAAAAAAATGAAATTGATACAAATACATAACTCGTACGGTATTTGTATTCTGTATTCATGAGTATGATTGTATTGGTTTTTGTGTATGTCTAAGTATATTGTGTATGTATTTAAAAAGTATATTTATCAGTTGTCTAGTACCCATAATACAAGCTCTGCTTAGCTTAGGAAGTGTGGATTGTCCACGGATATTATTATCTGTACATGACCAAAAAAACTTTTAGTATACCTATTTTTTTTTTCAAACAATTTTATTGAATTGGTCGTTATTTCTACACGTGTACAGGATGCAGTGTTGCCAGATACCCTATAGAAATTATAAAAACCCGAATTATATGGAAATTTTAGGCTAAAATAATATGTTTTTGATTGTAGGTTTGCGTTGATAGACTGTATAATGCCGATAATGTATCTTGCCATGTCATTTGTTTATAAAAGTATAGTATAGTACTACCTGAAAATTACTTATTTGTAAATTATAATTAATTATTAATTATAATTCTATCTTAACTTAACGATAAAAGACTACTTGAGTGTGTGGTTTGAGTTTTTGCCAAAAACATATTTTTACAATGTATCTATATTAATTGTATATATATATATTTTTAATTCTAATAAGAGTTTTTTTTACATAAAATACCTACCTTTGGCCGCTGGACCGTGAGTTATTTGCTTGGGATAAAAGTAATAATTTGTTATAAAGAGGATATGTTTCCCGTCCTGTTATGAGAAACATATCAATATATTATCATATATTAAAAAGAGCAACATACAAGTTTCTTGCTCATTCTTCTTGAGATGAATCTGCATTCCGAATGAGTGGTAGAATCAAAATATGACTATTCAAAAGTGCTTGTAATGAGTTTATTAGAAAAAAGATTATTTCTATTTCTATCCTCTTTATAACAAATTAGTACTTAATAACAAATTGTTAGTAAAGTACCATAAGGTATCGTTCGCCAAAACAGCATGGTTACACCTGATGATGGAGGAGAATTGGATTGTTAGTAATGTGGCCTGATAACCCCATTGCTAGCAATGTGCCATGTCAGGTTCTCCCTGGAAACCCATGATGGTGTCCAGGTAAATTGTCATGTACCAAGATGGGCTAACTGACCTGACTTCATGTTAATCTTATCATCCTCCACTGGTGCCCCGCCAGTGTAAACCGTTAGAGCAGGCAGGGGCACTATTCAATTAACATCAATAAAAAAAACGCCTGGTGATGTGACCAAGATGGACAGAATGTTTTTTTTTATTGGGGTTTTGAGCTATTGGGTGCTAGGAACTGTAACACTGCGACTTATATAGATCTATTGTGCTCGCCCTTTTTTCAAAGTTCAAGAAGGATATTCTCAGGAGCGATGGTTTTTATCTCCTCAAGATATATTGTATACTTTCCAAAGGAGTATCGCTTATGCTTGTGTCGTATATACAGACAGACAATTCTCTTATCTGCGATGTAAACCAATCTATTCAACGCTGGACCTTGAGTGCACTTGTGCATAGAACTACCGTTATTGGATAATAGTACACGTGCATGCCTCGTGTATTGTAGCTTTAATAGACTAATAGGCTTGTTTGTGTTGTATATGCAGCCATCTGTGGTTAGCACATTGCTATATATACCTATAGTCGTAGGTTCGATTCTCGCATGATACAAATTTAACGTTTAACCATGAGTAACATTGACTAGGTATTTTTTTTAGATTGTTTTTTCGAGAAGGGTATATTAAGGTAACGCGCACGTGATGCTCCTGGTGTCTCAAGTGTCCATAAGCTACTGTAACCATTTACCATCAGATGGACCGTATGCTTGTTTGCCACCATCTCAGTATAAAAAAGATATGTTATGTATTTACAAAAAATATATATCAACTGTCAAGTAGTACCCATAACACAAGCTCCTCTTAGTTCGGGACTAGATAGCGCAATGAGGAGCGAAAACAGATCTGCTGAAGTGTCCTGTGCGAGGAATCGAAACCGCGACTATCGGAAGTAAAGTATGTACTAAACTGCTAGAACACTGAGGCCGTCAATTCTAGATTCAATTTATAAATGTTCTAATATTTATTCAACAATGTATGTAGTCCTCTATTGTTAGTAACCTCAGTTTGGTTATATTATAACAAAAACCAAACCTTGTTACACTGCGCTGTGTATTCGAAACTCTTTAACAGTGGTTTGTTATCTTTTTATATTGTTGGCAAATGATTATAATATTTCAAACATTATATTAGCATACAATTTGTCCAATGAGTATTGCTGTTAATTATGGTGATATTTTCAAATAAATTGCACACAAACAATTTACTTTACGTCTGAGCGGTCAGGTTGTCAAAGATGTATTAATGATGACATGTGTATCATCATAAATGCTATTTTTGTCGAGTGGCTCCTGAGAAACTCATCGCTGCAGTGACACACTGCGGCATCAGCTGAGTGGAGGCCTTTCAGCTCATAGCGAAATATTAGTTTTTAAGTTTTCTCCATTTGTACTCTGTAATATGATACCGAATAAATGATTATTATTATTTATCTGCCAAGTTCGAATTCTAGTGAATTGCCCCTAGATCCGGGGCTGGTCGCGATGGATGTAAATAAATATGTACAAAACAACAAACTGTTTCGTAATAAATTCGTGCTTGGAAAATGTGTCAGACGTTTCAACCCTATAGTCTGTACAAATCAGGACTGAGCAAATTCTCGTCAGACTACGCTAAATATTTACTCTCTACACTGTATGCTCTGTATTGTTCTCTCGCTATATAATTAAAAATAGTGTAACCAAGTTACAGACAATATGGATAAATTATTCCAATAAATTTACATTATTTAAAAGATTAAAATTACTTGAAAGTGTTTAAATACACTTTCAAGTAATTTTAATCTTTTAAATCTAATTTGCTTGCTCGTTCTTCTTCTGATGAGGCAGCTTTCGGAAAACTGCCTGAATCTGAAAGAACGGGCAAGAAATTTGTGTATTGCATTTAAATAATTTAGTTGTATCTTTACAGTTTTAACTTGAAATGTTTGAATATAATTATTAACCGGGTCTGAACTCGAATAATTTTATGGCATATAAAGGTTGGAATAGCACGTTAGAGAGAGGGAAATCTTTAATAATATAATTAATGTGCAATATTAATATATTATCAATGCCATCGTATACCGTTAGCGGTGGATGCACTATATTTTTTTTCTAAATGGATGATTAAGAAAAAAGTAGAGTCCCATTTTTTACTGTGAATAAGGTTAACCTACTTTAAAATGATATATATAGTGTCCTTCAAGTTAATTAGGTACCTACTATGATATTTACGTAAATTAACGAGCAAATCATTTGGTTTGAAGATGAATTTATGATTCTGGATAAGAAGTCGATTGACGGTTGCGCAAATTCGAAGAGAAAGCCAAAGTCTCTACTTTTTAACCAACTCTTCAATATTGGAAGATCTTTTTTGTGTTTTTTGTATGCCCTCTATCTCTCTACATATTATGACAGAAATAAAACCCAACCTTATGACTCTGGGTGAATAAGATCGTTAGTAATGTGGACTACTAACCCCATTGCTAGCAATATACCATGTCAGGTTGACCTCCACACGCTTCCTCCTGGAAACCATGGTGATTAATTCATGGTAAATTTACCACGATACTAACTCACCTGACCTCATGCTCATC